AGCAAACGAAAGAGCAGCAACAGAACAAAAAACAATCGTGCGTTTTGCAATCTAATACTTGGCGCCCACTTACGCTTCCATGCCAGTCAAATCTAGATTTGATATTAAGACTGACTATAAGTGGAATGGGTACTTCGTCCGCCCATCCCTTCCCACACAACGTACGCAAACGTGGATAGGTAAGAGCCCGCCCTAGAGTTTGTCCAATAAGCGGCACCAAACAGGCCTTAGGGAGCGGCATTTAGTTCTAGGGATTAAGCGGTAAGTGGGAGAAGAAATGAGCCTCACCACACGGGACTGAGTGCTGGAGGAGGGAGAGGAGGAGAGGGAGGAGGAGGAGGAAGAGGAGAGGGAGGGAAAAGAGGCACTCATCCCTGCCCAGACGGTTGCACAACTATGAATAATCAGTAATTGATAATCAATATCAGATGGGCAACGGAGGTCGGAATGATGGCAAGGTAAGAATCATTTGTCGTTATCATTAACCAGCGATGCTCAGACACGCAAGCCTGGGAAAACAGTAAACACGCAAGAGGAGGTCAACACAGTTTATCCATTCTTTGTGAATGGTACTTGCTGAAAGCCAAAACATGCCCACAGTGTGGTTAGATGATGAGATACTGTGCAGGCAGGTGAGAAATTGCGAACAAAAAATCGTGTACGTACAAAGAAAACAAACAATGGAGGTTAGGCAAGACAAAGTATGAGTGAGAAAAAGCAGCCCCAGGTGAGTGGGTTAGATGAATTGACGACGAGTGCTCGGTTATCTATGTTTGCCGCTTCTGTTGCAAACCGGGTTAGAAAAAATCGCCGTCAGCCATAAGTGGCAGCAGACTACCTTACCCCTGACAGTTTGGCAGGCTGAAGAGAAAACTGTTAAGTCTGAGGAAGTGCGATGCTGAGAAGAATATAGTCAAAGGTGTAGAGGACCTCGAGGCCCTACCAATAACGTTTAATTGTGGACCTGGGAGGGCGCCTGATTGGATTCAAGCGATAGAACTTACATAAAGGAAGGTATTGGAGCACGTATGGTGATGATTGGGTAGAAGATTCATCTACTATTACTACCACCATAGCTAGACAGGTAAGAGTATGTACTGGAGCCTCAGAATGGTACTTCCGTACTATACCTACCTACTTACAAATCGAAGTAGGCTAAATTTTTCACAATCTTCCAGATTTTAGCACGCCGACTGTTGGTCCAGTAGGGATTGGATGATGATATTGAACTGCGGAGGGGTACTCAGAAGGACACTATGAACAATAGCCGCTTAAGTCAGTATATATTTGCGTAAATTAACCATGGGAATAACCGTTTACCTACCAATTTTAAGTAGGGTGAGGTTCCACATGTACCATCTTCTTCACTCATTCGCCAATATTCTACTTGCGGTTGGCGACACTTCTAAAAATCTACCTCAATAACCTTACCTGAGGTAAGCGGACATCCCCCAGACACACACGCGCT